TATCCGGAAACGAATAGATTTTAAAATAAACTTTTGAGAAAATCATGATTTAATTGATGTTAAGGGCATATTTAGACTAGATACTTTGTAATATTTACAAATCTACAGAAAAGCAATTAAGTATATTTATTCTCTTAAAACACTATTTTATATACGCCCGGCATAGTCATTTCCAACTAAACTAAAATTGCATTTACAACATTTAACGATGGTACCATCTAACCATTTGTATTTTTACTTATACTACGTTTATGTATGTATATAGTGTGTATGTATATACATATTTTATATTTTTGCCATGCACTATACTAACAATTTTATTTATATTATTTTTAAAGCACATGAAGGACTGTTTATCCGCGAAAAGTTTATGTATGGTATTATAAAGCCATAATTGGGAGAATTGGGATAAAACTCTAAAAATATTATATAAATTTATGGAAATACAAATTTTGAATGAAGTAATTGTAAAATATATAATACTATAATTTAAGGCACTTCTATATATTATATATGTATTTTTTCATCAATTGATTTCTTCTAAACGCATAGGCCGGTTTAATGGAGTTCTTCGTGTGAGGATAAAGTTGAAATGCTAAAAATAATCCCTGTACTTATTATTCTTGAAAATTGAAACTAACAATGTGGAGTTCATATGCAGAGATATATTTATACCAAAAATATATTTTGTTTCAGGGAAGATAATAAGACGATCAGACCCATATATCTACAATATCGACGATCAGACAATATGAATATATTATGTTCTGTTCTAATATTGTCAAAGGATCAGACTTTATTTGGAAATATGAATGATAGACTTGCCCTAAAATTCAATGTACATTTTTGGATAATGTCATTAATTGAATTTTTTTGTGATCTATATTGAGATATATTGATAATTCACTAATATAGCAAATAAGCCTTTATAATTATTATTGAAGTTATTGTTAATTTATGGAAACTGTGATTTGGTTGGATTTATCGTCATATAAATATCGTACTTTTATAAATGAAATTATTTTCATATTTTGCTAATGATATCTGCCCAAAGTAGTTTATCTAGTGCAGGTGCCATTTATATTGTCTAGGGCAGGTGCTGTACGTGCCGTTAAATACAGACCCTCTCATGTAAAGCAATAAATAATAATTTACAAAAAATAAGTATATTATAATAAAATTAATATATTAACTAGTACTAATACTTTATAAAAATATTCGAATGATCTGCTTTTATTTATGATTAGAATATAATATATATTTCATACCCAAGAGCAGCAAATATATTGCTACATGCCAAAGTTAATCACAGATTTTTTAAATTTAATACATAAAATTCATGAAAAAAAAATAAAATAAATTTATTATAACTTTGTGACTACATTTACAATTACAATTAGATATACATATACATCAATACATCATGCATATTAGTATACTAATTTTTGATCAATTTGACAATTATTAATTGTACATAATTATGCATAAGTATAAAACTTATTAAATTGACTATTTATACAGTATGTACATGCATTAAAATATTTCTAAGTTTCCAAAATTTTTGATTACTAATATTTTCTAATTTCTAAATATTTTTGAAAATGAATATAATCCACCCCTATTCTTTCTCCTTTTTCCCGTTTACAAATGTATATAGTCATCTCTTTCCTCAAGTAGACTCGTCCGGGCGTTGGCGCTCATATAAAGAAACGTCCATCTTGTTTTACTTTATTCTGTGAATTCGTTTTCGAAGCATCATAACTTGCTTAGCAAACGATTTGCAATCTGGTCATATTTTTAATTTATCAACTAGTCTATAGTGTTTGTGACATTTCTAATACATAATTCAAAATGGTAAGTAAAATATTTGATTAAATTTAATTAGGTTTTGTTTTGTTAAAAGTAAGTAGGAAAGTTTGAGCGGCCGGCATTTTTAAACTTATCAAACGCTAGTATTTATTGTTGAAAAAATAATTATTTGCAGATATGAATTGTTAAAATGGTTTTTTAAGGTATTTATATTTATGCTTTTCAAAATTTCTCTTACTTTGAGAAATGCCGCAGTGTCACGCAACTGCATGGTACCGATAGGGGCCATATCATATTGATTTTGTTGTCTGCGGCATATATTTTCGGTTTCTAGGGCGATACAGTTTATAGAAGGTCGATAGACAATTATCATTATCAATTATTTTTTAAATCTTACATTTCATATTATAACCTACCATTTTACTGAACTTTTAGCAGCCATGTAAGCATTATTAATTTTCACAGATTCTACTTACAATACTGTGTCTTTCATGTTATAATCCCGAATTTGCCTTCTGTTTTTTGATTAATTGTATTTTTCACTTCAGCGTGAATGTATCTCAATCCATGTTGGCCAAGCTGGTGTTCAAATTGGAAATGCCTGCTGGGAGTTGTACTGTTTGGAGCATGGAATTCAGCCCGATGGTCAAATGCCATCTGATAAAACCATTGGGGGTGGTGATGACTCTTTTAACACCTTCTTCAGTGAGACAGGAGCTGGCAAACATGTGCCACGAGCCGTCTTTGTTGATTTGGAACCAACTGTCGTAGGTTAGTTGAAGTTACTAGCATTATATATTAAAAGTCAATAAAACACCTTGTATGTTTTATATATTTATAATACAATAAAATTATTACTTGAACTGCAACAAAATTAATAGATTTTTTACTTATCTAGATGAAGTGCGCACTGGAACATACCGTCAATTATCCACCCAGAACAACTGATTACTGGCAAGGAAGATGCTGCCAACAATTATGCTCGTGGTCACTACACAATTGGCAAAGAAATCGTTGTCGTTGATGTAGTATTGGACAGAATTCGAAAATTAGCTGATCAATGCACTGGTCTACAAGGTTTCCTCATTTTCCACTCTTTTGGAGGTGGCACTGGATCAGGATTCACCTCTTTGCTTATGGAACGTCTGTCAGTTGACTATGGAAAAAAATCAAAATTGGAATTTGCTATTTATCCTGCACCTCAAGTTTCAACTGCTGTTGTTGAACCGTACAACTCTATTTTAACAACCCATACCACTTTGGAACATTCTGACTGTGCTTTCATGGTAGACAATGAGGCTATCTATGACATTTGCAGAAGAAACTTGGACATTGAACGCCCAACATACACTAACTTAAATAGATTGATTGGTCAAATTGTATCTTCCATCACTGCATCCTTACGATTCGATGGTGCCTTGAATGTTGATTTAACTGAATTCCAAACCAACTTGGTGCCATACCCTCGTATCCATTTCCCATTGGTAACTTATGCTCCAGTCATATCTGCTGAGAAGGCCTACCATGAGCAACTCTCTGTTGCTGAAATCACAAATGCCTGTTTTGAACCAGCCAATCAGATGGTGAAGTGTGATCCTCGTCATGGAAAATATATGGCTTGCTGTATGTTGTACCGTGGTGATGTCGTCCCTAAGGATGTCAATGCTGCCATTGCTACTATCAAGACCAAGCGCACCATTCAATTTGTAGATTGGTGTCCAACTGGTTTCAAAGTTGGTATCAATTATCAACCCCCTACAGTTGTGCCAGGAGGTGATTTGGCTAAAGTACAGCGTGCAGTTTGCATGTTGTCCAACACCACTGCTATTGCAGAGGCTTGGGCTCGTTTGGATCATAAATTTGACTTGATGTATGCTAAGCGTGCATTTGTTCATTGGTATGTAGGAGAAGGTATGGAAGAAGGTGAATTTTCTGAAGCTCGTGAAGATTTGGCTGCTTTAGAGAAAGATTATGAAGAGGTTGGCATGGATTCTGGTGATGGCGAGGAAGAAGATGGTGCCGAGGAATACTAAATATGATTTTGAACCATGTTTTTAATGTTTTTAAATTCAAATTGCATTCCTTGCACATTTCAAAAATGCTTCAAATAAAGCTCACTTCACTTCGCAAATGAATCTTGCATTTTTATTTATATTGTATGAATGTTTTTATAAACTATCAAACTTGAGATTATAATGTTCTCTTTAAACATGTGAATGACATGAGGTCTTATGTGTAAATTCATATGTATATAGACAAACATACAAAAAATGTAAATATAGAATATTTCAAAGTGGTATAATTTTGAGTAATAAGACTTACAAAATTATGACAATCGGTGGATTAGAATGATTAATGAAAAGATTGCCCAATCTGCTAACTCTTCGTTATTATTATAATTTAATAATTTACAAATATTAATTCTCCATTATTTCAAAAGATCTCAAATTAAATTGAATACCAAAACATAAATGCATTTGTAAAAATGCTTGTGGTATATTTAAAAATTAACTAAATAACTTTCATTTTTAACAAATATTAAGATCAATTTTTTAAGAACAGTAGCTTTCATACTTTGTCCTACAGTTCTTGATTTAGTAGTTTCTTAATCAGATGTATATTTGCAAATAAAATGCAAAAGTTATAATTGATATCTGCATATATATCAAATTTTATCAACAATTGTAATATTTTATAAATATATTATCTAATAATAATATAGTATAACAGGTATTACAACTTTAATTTGATAAACAGTACAGTTTCATAAAGCCAAGTTTATTTATTAAACTTTTAAATTCATAACAGGCATTGAAATTTGTTGTGCCTTCTCTCTGTATAATTAATACTATTTTTAAAAGTTATTCAAAAGTGAAATTTTACGAAATGAAATCATTCCGACATTCACCATTTTCAGTATGAAGCTATATAAATGAATAAATTCTTAAAGGGCATAAAAAATAAAAAGAGAGACCAAAACGAGTATCATTAATAGATCTACAATTTTGAAAGAGAAAAAAAAAAAGAAATCAAACATGAACATAAAAATAAAATATAAAATTATTTATGCGCGATTATCTGACTACTATTTATATAAGATAATAAATTCAAATTTCAAATTTTTGGTCTCCCCTAGATAAAAGTAGTTCACACACTGCACACTTGATCAAAAGGGGAGCTAGTATATAACCCTAGCCGGCGGCATCCATCTTGTTTAATTTGTGAGTTCGTTTTCGAAGCGTCCTAACTTGCTTAGTGAACGATCAACAATTTTGTCTTTATAAATTGTTAAACAGTGTTTGGTTTGCTAAAAATCTAGTTCAAAATGGTAAGTGTAATATTTATTTGATTTTATTCATTAGGGTTTCTTGCGTTGCGAAATTATTTGAGCAGTCGGTATCGTAAAATTTAAGTCTTAAAAACTGTTCTTAGTGAGTGGTTTTTCGTAGATAGTTTTAAATACGTATTTAAAGAAATGTGTATTTATGTGCAATTATTTTCATTGAATTATATCGGAGTGTGACTCATGTGCATGGCACCGGAAGGGAGGTGTTATATTGATTTTGTTTTAAGAGCCAGATGTTTTATAGCGGGTTACTAATCAATAATTGTAATAGCACCTTTTAATTTATGCTTTGCTCTTAGTACATGATGTACGGATTGTTTCCAATTTTTAGCAATTCAATCAGATTATCAAAAATCTTATTTCTGAGAATGTTTTTTTTCCTAGCGTGAATGTATCTCAATCCATGTTGGCCAAGCTGGTGTCCAAATTGGAAACGCCTGTTGGGAGTTGTACTGTTTGGAACATGGCATTCAGCCTGATGGCCAAATGCCATCTGACAAAACTATTGGAGGCGGTGATGACTCTTTCAACACCTTTTTCAGTGAGACAGGGGCAGGCAAGCATGTGCCACGAGCTGTCTTTGTTGATTTGGAACCAACTGTTGTAGGTTAGTTGTAGGTTACTTCTGTATAAAATTCAATTTTAATTGTTACAAATGTTCTAACAATTAAATGCTAATTATCAGAATATATTGAAATTCATACAGCTTACTTGAACCACAACCTTAATTTAATCTTACCTTGCTCTAGATGAGGTCCGCACTGGAACATACCGTCAATTATTCCACCCAGAACAACTGATTACTGGCAAGGAAGATGCTGCCAACAATTATGCACGTGGTCACTACACAATTGGCAAAGAAATCGTTGATGTTGTATTGGACAGAATTCGTAAATTGGCTGATCAATGCACTGGTCTGCAAGGTTTTCTCATTTTCCACTCCTTTGGAGGGGGCACCGGTTCAGGATTCACCTCCCTGCTCATGGAACGTCTGTCTGTTGACTATGGAAAAAAATCAAAATTGGAATTTGCTATTTATCCTGCACCTCAAGTTTCCACTGCTGTTGTTGAGCCATACAACTCTATTTTAACAACCCATACCACTTTGGAACATTCTGACTGTGCTTTCATGGTAGACAATGAGGCTATCTATGACATTTGCAGAAGAAATTTGGATATTGAACGCCCAACATACACTAATTTAAATAGATTAATTGGTCAAATTGTATCTTCCATCACTGCATCCTTACGTTTTGATGGCGCCTTGAATGTCGATTTAACTGAATTCCAAACTAACTTGGTACCATACCCACGTATTCACTTCCCATTGGTAACTTATGCTCCAGTCATATCTGCTGAAAAGGCTTACCATGAGCAACTCTCTGTTTCTGAGATTACAAATGCTTGTTTTGAACCAGCCAATCAGATGGTGAAATGTGATCCTCGTCATGGAAAATATATGGCTTGCTGTATGTTGTACCGTGGTGATGTCGTTCCTAAAGATGTCAATGCTGCCATTGCTACTATCAAGACCAAGCGCACCATTCAATTTGTGGATTGGTGTCCAACTGGTTTCAAAGTTGGTATCAATTATCAACCCCCCACAGTTGTGCCAGGAGGTGATTTGGCTAAAGTACAGCGTGCAGTTTGCATGTTGTCCAACACCACTGCTATTGCAGAGGCTTGGGCTCGTTTGGATCATAAATTTGACTTGATGTATGCTAAGCGTGCATTTGTTCATTGGTATGTAGGAGAAGGTATGGAAGAAGGTGAATTCTCTGAGGCTCGTGAAGATTTAGCTGCTTTAGAGAAAGATTATGAAGAGGTTGGCATGGATTCTGGTGATGGTGAAGAAGAAGATGGTGCTGAGGAATATTAGACAACTTCAAAACATGCTTATAAAATTTTTGAATGAAAATTTTATTTGCTTGGCAGGTCACTTAAAATAAAATTACTTTGCAGTCTTACTTTTTTTTTTTTATTATTAAGTTAATGTTTCAGGTTTAAATAATTATCAAAAAACCTATTTCAAAAAGTGTTGATATTGAAATGGAGTTAGTTAAATAAATCTAACTCAATTTTTGAATAGTAGTAGTAGAACATAATTCAACATATGTTTCACTTTCTAGGGTTGCAAATATCTTACTTAAATATAATTTATTTATTTATTTGAAATTAATAATTAATTTCTGGATATCTTACATCAATAGTCAAAACATTGCATTTTAGCCCAAATTGCAGTTTATTAATTCATAAATTGAGTAATTTAATCAAGCTATGTCATTAAACTAATTTTTCATTCTAATTTAAGCAGTTTACTATTTATTTTGAATAAATTCTAAAGGGGATGAATATAATTATAATGTGGAAAACATTAAGAGCGAACTTAATATAGTCTTCTTTTATCTATGATTAAGAGTACAAATCAAAATAAAAATTTTAACATTTCAGTTTGTTGATTAATATTAAGTATGCAATAAGCTGATTGTGTTTCTTTGGACTGTAGATAATAATTTATTTAATAAAGCATAATTGGTCTTTAATTGTTCCTTCTATTTAAAACAGGAAAAAGTATTTCTATAAGATACGATCTTTACACGTTTAAATGTCAGGATTCAATATGATTTGCAGTTGAAATCTAAGAAATCATTTTATTTTTGTGAGAAAAAATATTGAATTCAAAATGGTTTAAAAAGCACTCGTTTAAAATTTAGTTAAGCTAATATTCAAACCAAATGATTATAGGTTCCTGTAATTCAATTGCTATCAATCGATCAACTGTCATTTCGTTGCATGTGTTTGATAAGTCATTTTTAAAAATCAATTATTTATAGATCTGTATTTTAACTGTTGAATCCAAGATAAAATGTGCAAATTCACCTTTCATTTACATTTTAAAACTGTCGTGTTCAAACAGGGTTAAGAATGTAAATTTATTTCTGTCATGGGAAAATCATTGAGTCTTTTAACAAAAGAAGAATCAAATTGTTGTACCCCTCAAAGATATGAATTATTTCTTGATTTCGAAAATGCTGCCCCTACAGACATCGAGAAAGAAGTGTATTTTGAAGTTCAAAAAGTGCTTTTGGCATCAGATTCCATTTTAGATGAAATTCAATGTTACAAAGGTGCTGGAAAAGAAATTAGAGAAGCTATTGCTGAACCAACTCCATTGTTGCAAGAGAAAGCGTTATTGGTAGTTGTGCCTTTGGTAGCAAAATTGAAAAAGTGTTTTGATCATTCACTTAAGCTCGAAAAGGTTGTACCTAAATTATTGGGGCAGTTAGTAGGGGGCAAATTAACACCAACACAACATTTGGAAACACAACAAGCGTTGGTGAAACAATTAGCCGAAATTTTGGAATTTGTGCTCAAGTTTGATGAATATAAGGTAATTTAGTATATGATACACAAATATTTATGTTTCCATATATGCAAAAAACGCTATACTTGATACCAATAGCTTACATTATTATTTCTAATTTATATTATGACTTAAGAAAACTAAATAAATGAATTATTAAATTTGCATGAAGTTATGATATCACATCATATAAATATCTTTTCAGATGAAAACTCCAGCCATACAGAATGATTTTAGTTACTATAGAAGAACTATACACCGACATCGAATGGATTTAACACTAACAACTGATATAATGTCCTCCGAATTAGCAAACCGAATGTCGTTGTTTTATGCTCATCCCACCCCAATGCTAAAAGTTCTGAGTGAATCAACTACAAAATTTGTTGCAGACAATTCAAATGACATAGAAAATACAACAGAAACATTAGGCACGTTGGTGAAAATGAAACTTTATAACTAGAAAAAGACCATATAGTAAAATTGTCTAATGAAATATTAAATTTGTAATCTTTTTATTCCTTGCAGGAACTATGGCTAAAGTTTGTCTAAGAATGTTAGAAAAACCAAAACTTGTTTGCCAATTTGAAAGAGAAGAAACACAGTTATTAGTCTTGAGGGTGATGGTTGGATTAGTCATTTTATACGACCATGTACATCCAATCGGAGCTTTTGTAAGAGGGTCTCATGTTGATGTGAAGGGTTGTGTCAAGTTATTACAAACGCAGCCTCCTTGCAGAGCTGAACCTCTCTTAAATGCTTTAAGATACACAACTAAACATCTCAATGAAGAAAATACTCCTAAAAATATTAAAAACTTGCTAGCAGCCTAACTGATGTTATGAATGGGTGAGTAGAATGCTAACATGCTCATAACTTCAAATATAAAAAGAATTAGTTTTTATTTGCTTTTTGTTTAATTTTCTTGGCATATAAGGTTTAATATGTCATGTATGATTAATAAAATATTAATCGTTTCTAATTATGTAAAATATATCTATTATAATATAGAAAGATAATTAGGAGGTAAATTTATAAAGTTTACAAATTTTTGCTCTTAAAAGCATTCGTTTTTTTATTCGACAGAGAGTCACATTGAAATAAATTCACTAAAAATGTATTGGAAAAATATGGTTGATGTATATTTTCAAACCATCATTAATTTGATTTGGTTGTTTACATACATCAAATATCAAATGTAGAGAAAACTAGTCAAGCATAGAATATTATTTTATTGCATAATTAAAGGATATATTAAAAAAATATATATTAATTTTACTGTTGATATTTATTTTGTTCTATACTTATTTTAATCATACTCACTGCATAGACAAAATTCCACAATATATATGAAGGCTCAAATGGCACACACAAAAATATAAAAAGCAAGTGCAAACAGTATTCAATTTCAACTCCACCAAAAGTATTTAATTGTTATGGGATAATGAAATCGCAAATAGGTGATTTGATAGGGATAAATGTTGAACCAAATATAAGAAAATTCTATTGAATTGATAACATTTCAAATTAAATGAAAAATAATTCTGTTCTATGACACATCTGAAATTTTTATATTTATTTTAATTAATGGGTACAAACTCTATGAAATCTAGATTACATATAAGTAAAATGATTGTTAATTTAATACATAGTTGTATCATATTCGTTATGAAATAACAAAACGTAAAGTAATAAATAACCCAGCCTTAAAATTAATTTTATTGTTGATTTGAATATAATCAATAGATCGATAATTCTAGTCGATAATTAGATTATTAGTTTAGAAAAATTAAACATTTAGTAAAATATTTATTACGGTTTATATGACTAAAATAAAGTTAATTGTTTGCTTCTTCACAAAACAAAACCCAAGATCAATTATGTATTGTAATGATAGTTCACTTTTCCTTACATTTAACATTAGAAAATCATCTCATGTAGATAAATTATAGAAAAAAATTGAATAGGATACATATTAATATTTTATTTCAGTTTATTTAAAACTTATATTACTTTTTTCCTTTTTTTATTGAATAATGAATAAAAGTCGATCATTTTGCATATTTTTAAATTTTTGTAATAATTAAATGAGGAAGTGGATTTTTTTATTAGACATTATTAGAATATATTTTTGAATCCAATGAAATTATAATAAAATTTAATAATAGTCAAATGAGTAATTTTCGGTCAACTCTGTTCATATTACAATCAAACTTTAATTACAGATTATTGTTGTAATTTAAATTGAATTGATTACAAAATGATATATTGTCAAAATATTTTCAGTTTTATTGGGAATAAAATACGTATGTGATATAAATTATATTTTGATGATTTTTATCATTAAAACCAACGAAGGAATTAAATTGACTCATTATAATGCATGACTAGAAATAACTCCGATTATTACACTGCCATTTGAAAGCGTTGTACACTAAAAGAACATTTTAAAACAAAATTTTTGTATCAAAAAATTTAGTGATGGTTAGTTAAATTTCCTACAACTAAAATAACGAAAATGATGTATTTTTGTTAATTTTATGTAAATTTTTTGACTTGGACTTGTTTTAATGGGCTGTTTATTCTACCTAGATATAAACAATAATCAAGGGGGGAGTCCATTCATTTATCTTAATAATAATTTTATTTAATAGTTACGTAAATTCTATGAAACATTTATATTCATTTCATTCATTTATAAGTTGCCATTTTTACGATGCAATTTTCAGAATATTAGTTATAAAAATAGTTCGAATTTTTAAATTGGTATATTTAATAAACGAGCAAGGTAAATGTGTCAAAATTTTTTAGAGTGTCTTTCGGATTATGATATTCAAAAGTATATTTTTTAAGTTTTATGTGATTCAATTGATAACGATAATAATGTGATAACGATATAATATTACGAAAATGATAAATTTTGAAATTTATTTTATGTGAATGATATTATTAGAAAATAATTTATAATGCCCAATTGGTGTTTCATTGAATGAAGTAATATTGTTATGGAAGCTTTTAATATTTTTAATTGAAAATAATAATATAAATTAATAGTATATATTTATAGGTAATATCAATGATATATATTTATATTTTGCATTGTATTGTTATTGATTGTGATATATTTATTTCATTATATTAAATATTTACTATACATTATATCATAAAGTGCTAATAAGGTTATTGAACATTTTGGAATGCACACTAATTTTACTCGGATAATAATAATTGAATCTAATATTGAATAAGTAGTTCTGATAATGTAGTGGGACTTATTGTTAATAAATTATGAATGTTTTTGTTCCTATAGAATGAAATAATTTTAAACGAAGTCATACAATAATGTTTGGCTATTGATAAACATTGCATCTTCAAAATAGTAGTGTTAAAAAAAAATCTCAAGATGTTCGATAGCCTCGCTGTTATGATTGATGCACATTTTGTCTTTTATATTATATATATATATATATATATATATATATATATATACATTAAAATTTTATATAAATTCTATGTCAAAATTTTATTTGCCAAACTGATGTCTCTGCACAAATTGATGGTAAAAGCTTTATATAACATACTTATATGTATTTGCAATATAATTATGGTATTATATATATACTTTATGTATTTACGAAATTGATTATATTATGCTGTAACATTCATCTTTTATTTCACGCCTTTTTCAAGCCCTACGTTCTGGGCACTTATTTCCATTTCTCCCAAATAGCTGAACGATAAAATAAACCCAGTGAACATTTATTATATATTTTATTATACTTATCCAATTATATGATTGTAACAAATAACAACAAAAACTGATTAAAAATAACACTTATTTATACAATAAAGAGTAACAAAAGCAAGAAATATATATGAGCCAAAATTATTTGATTAAGAATTTGCTATAACAAATGCAGCACGAAATCAAATTATATCATAATGAAATATTTTGCTTACATTGAATGTATATTAGCACTTGAAGCGGTATTGCGGTCTCAGTAAAAGTTGAGCTTTTTAATTTTTAAGCAAAATGATGTACTATGTTATATGAAATATTTCTTACAGTCGATAATTACGGTCTTAGACCCAATGTGGACGATTGATTTTTTTTAATAATAATTAGCACTATTGATATAAATTAATAATTAATTAATATATTTAATAATCATCATCATCGTCATCATCTCCTTCGTCATTATGGTGATAACTGTGGTCGCTATTTGGTGAAGTGTGAAGGTAAGAAGTGGCCTTATGGTTACTTTCTTCATATTCTTCGACTTCGTCTGAATTGCCTCCATCTCCTCCAGATAAATTACCAGTTCTATATGAACTATGACTTTCGTCGCCGTCTCTGTGAAACAAAAATTATTAATATCTTCTATAAAAAGCAAAACAAATGATAAGAAAAATAAAGAACTAGGAAGAATAAGAACTTATACTTTTTATGTATCAATTACAGAAAAATTATATGGATTGTATAGAGAAAAGTAATAAAAAATCACAGGAGCCGAATGAGGGGTTAAAGATTAAACGTTAAACCAAATCAATTTGATACACGATTTTTTAAAATTAATATTTTTATTCAATGTGTCCCTTTACGTCCCTTTACGGCTTACAAGTTTAAATTACCCAAATTTATTAAATGACCTTAACTGGACAGTTGTAAATAAAATAGAGAATAAAAAAAAAAAAAATTTATCAATTCAATTCTAAATTAAATTAGCATTTTCCATATCAATTTCAATACTCACCCTACATGATCTTCGGTAACTTCATAGCCTTCTGTATAAATAGCCTTTTTCTTAGGTTTGTCTTCATATGAACGGCTTTCGGAATATTTAGCTGGGAGAATTAGTTAGTTATTAAATTTAAATTAGAAATTAAGCTAAATAAATTACGACTAATAAATTTTTAAAACCTATAAATTTATAAATCTTTCTTGATATAAAAAAAAGATCTCTACTGCTTTTTCATCTGTTGTTGAGTTACTACGGAGGCAATTTTTACCTACTAATTATAAGCTGATCTTGGTAAAATTTATCTAATCTATACAAGTGCATTATTTATATAAATTATTTAATATTTTATTTATTTTTTATATTGACCCTTAACAATTTTTAATAGTCATATATTTCTCATTCTCGATGGAGTTTCAAACTATAGACCAGTCATTTAAGGTTAAATTAGGTAAGAATCTCGGAAATCTAGATACCCAGCTGTAAGCCTGTAAATACTTGTATATTGCCCTAAAAGTTTTCTCAAAACCTACGTATGGTAAGGTGTACGCAACATAGGTAGTTTTGAGACAACTTTTGGAGTGCAAAATGCAAGTATTTACAGGCTTACAGCTGAATATCTCGAATTCCGAGGTGAACTTACTATAATGACTGGACTACTATAATTTCCAGGTTTATTCTATCCATGTATATTAACTTAACAAATTGGTATTTAGTTAACAAAATAACATTTTGCATGTTTATCGTTTATATTGCGAATATTTCTGTTAATAATTTGATAATAAAGAAAATGTTTTCTACTTACCTCCGCTATTTTCTGATGTTCCTTTTCCGTTGTGGGTTTTCCCTTTATCGCTATTGTCGAAGGAATAATCGTCGCCGTGCTTTTTGTGGAAGCTGTCGAAAAGCTCGTAGCCGCGGTTGTGCTTTTCGGACTTTTTGCGATGATACCCAACATCGCCTTTGTCGTCACCTTCATACTCTTTGTAATAGTTCTTGTCATTTAAATCTTCCACCTAAAAATATTTTTATTACACTTATAAATCAATTTTTATATATATCATATATAATATCATTAAATTCGGAGTTAACATTTCTCATAATTTTCTTTATTAACTTTATTAACTTATTGCCTACTGTGGTGGCCCAAGGCGACCGCTGAGGTCCTCAGAAAGCATCCATTTTTTTAATTATTTAAATTTTGTGTAAATTTTATCATTACTTGACTAGGTATAAATCTCATTTACTCATACATTAGTTTAACTACAATTCGGTTCATAAATAAAAGAGTATCGGTTTATGTAATTTAATAATTTATTGCGACGTGTTTAAAGATATCAAAATTATAAATATTTTATAAAAAGATTGAAATTAGGAAGCTTGGTGATAAGCAGGAAAAATCATTGCGATAAAAATTAATTCGTGACATTAATACAAATAGACTAGAATATACGTTTTTAAATCACTTTTTCTCTTTTTTGCATAGATTTATTTCCGATCAAAATAATATAATTTTTTAAGACAATATGCTGGGACAATATGCACTTTAAATCACAGAAGCAAGATTGGATTTGGGTTTAATTGCAAATTTATTTAATTGATTCTATTTGTTGTGTTTTATTTCACTCAAAAATGTGATATTGATGTTTTATTAATGGTTCAAATTAATATTGAAATTTAAAAAATGGAAAACTTAAAATCAGTTAAAGTGTAATTTAAAAAAAGAACAAGAAATTTATATATATTATAATGATAATATTCTATACATTATATATATAGAATCTAGTTTAAATTGGGGCTTTTGTTGTTGAGAATACTATTTTTATGCTAATGATGACATTATTCATAAGATTTATTTATTTATTATTTATTTTATTAAAAATACGTAGAGTGATCTCAGAATAACAAATAATAGTTATTCAAACTTTTCAATTTTGATATAAAATATAATATAATAAAGATTCTAAGTAGTAGATACCGGCGGTAACTAAGTATATTTTTTTATTGCAAATGTTATAAATTTATTATTTTTATATAAATATAAATATATCTGGATGATAATGGTTTTATTTTAATTGGGATTTCTTATATATTTCTATTTGTGTATGGGCAGTGCAGATATGCGGCTATTTCACAGTTTAATAATAATGTTCATAACATATTTTTTGCACAATTTTATAAATCACAAATAATCATCAAACCTCAGCAGCGGCACGAACAACTCTTTTCGAAAACACATCATCTTGAGGTAAACTATTTATCAAATTAAATGTTGAATAAAAGCATAAAATCAAAATAATTTTAATATCCATTTTATTTTTATTCTCTATGATAATATGTATCACGTACTAGTAGTTCCAAATATAAATGATTCGAAATATTTAATCCTCATTTTATATGTGTTTTCAACGATATAGTAGTTTCAGAGAAAGGGGATACAAAAAGTTCATATTATGTAAATTTTGTAACATATATTGAAATATTCAATCAACCGTTGTAAAATAGTTATTTCCTTATTTTTTACTTCAAATGAAGTAGGGCGTAAAGTTTATATCTATGGACCAATGCATATTAAGTGGAATTTTGTAAAGATTTCATTTTAAACAATATCACATATAAAACGATATATTTCATAATATTAAAAATATTCTAATTATCAGTTTAGTAAAAAATATATTAGTCTAAATCTGTGGATTAAATTTTAACATAACGGTTTTATCATCCGTTAATTAGATTTTTTTCAATTTATTATTATTTATTTAAATAATAATTTATATTAATTGTAACAAATTATTCGACCCATCACAAATCGACAATTCCCCAAATTCGGCAATTTAAAAAAAATTAATGTCTGATTTGTTTGCTTCCTACTTGCCATTAAATAAATATGAAATATTAAACAAAAATATATATATTCTTCATAAATTATGTATTTAGGCGATTGTCTATGAATTAAATGAAATAAAATAAAACATTATATCGAATTGATTTTCCCGCGTCAAAAATGTTAAATCTCGAATAAATATTTTCTTATCGGGCAATATTTTTTCATGTAGTAAATGACTCTTTAGTACATCGGCCATTTATTTCCGGGACGCCTTCGAAGCTCATTCGAAAAAGAATTATTTTAACTAATTAATCACAATTTTATTTGCGTTTAATACAAACATCGGCTGCATTCGATACCAAGGTAAATATTTTCATAGTATAATATAAATTGTAATACTATTATTTTACGAAATTAAATATTTTTTAATGGAACTCCATCTTGTTTGTTCTCATCATGTTTTTTTTCCAATGTGATGACCCCCTCTTTGTTTATTGTAGAATGTGGCCGGCGTGGAAATAATTGAATTTCAAGGTGTTTTGTAACCTCGATTTTGATCTTACAAAATGCATCTTTATAACCTAACATTGCAAAGGGCTACCGGGGCCACTCATGCGGTCCACGGTAGTTTTTCGGGAACCAATAAAACGCAAGAAATAATTATTTCGCGTGGCAAAAGTTTAGAAGTTTTGAGGCCCGACGTAAATACGGGAAAAGTACATACCTTGCTTACAGTGGAAATATTCGGCATTGTGCGATCTTTAATGTCCTTCAGGTTAACCGGAGGAACTAAAGGTAATTTTTATATACTTATCAGTATATAGCGTGCAGTATTATTTGCTTTGGTAAATTGGCAAAACCTTAAATGCTATTTTATATCATAGATTACATAGTTGTTGGTTCTGATTCTGGTCGTATAATTATTCTGGAATACAATGCTGCAAAAAATACTTTGGAGCGTGTTCACCAAGAAACGTTTGGCAAATCTGGATGCAGGCGCATTGTTCCAGGACAATATTTGGCTATTGATCCTAAAGGTAAGCATGCAAATGATTTCATTCCTATATTACATACAAACTTTTGTTCTGTGCAGTACAATACTAATTCATTTCTCCAGTTCTTTTTTACTTTATAGATTTATTTATAGTAAAATTTAATTTTGTTTGCTCTAATAACATTATGTTGAAATTTCAAATGTAGATGGTTCATTATCTCTTAGTTATGCACTTTAGGTATCTCCAGAATTTAGTACTTTTATATATATTCTGGTCGTAAAACTGGTGCTATAGTAATATGTGTATCGTTGGAGCACTCATCATTTTTACAGTGTTCCCTGGTTAAACACATTACAAACATAATACACTTAAAATATTTTTACTTCAGATAATTTCAATCATGTTCTAATATAAATAATTTTAATAGGACGTGCTGTAATGATTGGTGCTGTTGAAAAGCAAAAGTTGGTTTATATTTTCAATCAAGCTGAGGGACGTTTAACAATATCATCACCCTTAGAAGCTCATAAATCCAATACATTAGTATATCACATGGTTGGTGTTGACGTAGGATTTGAAAACCCTATGTTTGCATGCCTTGAAATTGATTATGAAGATGCTGATTCAGATCCAACAGGTACATTATAAAAGATGTTAAAGTGCCAAAGTAAATATATAATCATAAAATAATGATTCAACACTCTTTTAAAATATTTGCACTATCACCCGCAACAAGTTTAGATAGCTTGTATTGTGTTTATTATCTAGTGCTATATCATACTATTGTACTCTGAACCATTGGGATACTCATTTCCATGTGTATAACACTCTGATATGAGTTCAACAAAAACTATTTTGCAATAGCCTTTGGATTTGAAATTTTTCTATTGTGTTATAAATCATATTAACATCGTTTTAGGTGAAGCTGCCATGAAGACACAACAAACCTTGACATTTTATGAACTCGATTTAGGTTTGAATCATGTTGTTAGGAAATATTCAGAGCCACTTGAAGAACATGCAAATTTTTTAATTGCTGTACCCGGTGGTAATGATGGTCCTTCTGGTGTGTTAATTTGTTCAGAAAATTATTTGACTTATAAAAATTTGGGAGATCAACATGATATAAGGTAATTGAATATTTTTCAAATTTTGTTGCACATTCTTGCTTGCACGAACGGAACTGTAGTTCAGATGCATAACTAATGTGCAGATATCAAATCAGCTTGTCGCCTTCGAATACAAAGAAAAATTTTGATTTGAAGTGAACTCAAGCAGAAACATTTTTCAAGTTACTAGTAAGAATCCTCTTACAACATACTTAGTATTTCAGTATACTTCTTAAGTATACTTTTTAAGTTCTTTAATTTCATTTTAGGTGTCCAATTCCTAGAAGAAGAAATGATTTAGATGATCCTGAGCGGGGAATGATTTTTGTTTGTTCTGCTACACATCGAACCAAATCCATGTATTTCTTCTTAGCACAAACTGAACAAGGAGATATTTTCAAGGTACTTAGGCCAATAACATACATTACATCTCAAAGATTATTTACAAACATTATATTCGTTCTGATATAATTATTGCACTTGTTGGTATCTCCAGCACCTGGTTCTTATCACGTTCTGGTCGTAACAACTGTGCTATATAAAGATGTATGTTTAACAGAAACTTCAGAATAATTTCTGATGTATTGTTTAAATAATGCATGACATATCTTAGCATTTAATAAGCTAACTTTGCTTTTCTTTTAACAAATATCAAATTTTTAAAATTATTTGAACTATTTTTTTCAGGTAACCTTAGAAACAGATGAAGATGTTGTAACAGAAATCAAATTAAAGTATTTTGATACAGTGCCTGTAGCTGCTTCTTTATGTGTATTAAAAACTGGATTTTTGTTTGTTGCTTCAGAATTTGGAAACCAGTAAGTAAATACTTTTATTCGATACATATTTGACAATATTCATGTATTAACATGAATGACTTTTTAGCTACTTATATCAAATTGCACATCTAGGAGATGATGATGATGAACCTGAATTTTCTTCTGCAATGCCACTTGAGGAAGGAGATACATTCTTCTTTGCACCAAGACCATTACGCAATTTGGTTATGGTTGATGAAATGGAATCATTATCTCCAATATTAGGTATTCAATACTTTCATTAAATAAACTAAAAATACAAAATATTACTTTACCCACATGATGATAAACAAATAACATATTTGTAGTGATGATCTACTCTTGAACTCTCTCACTGAAGCTAGTTGCTATATCACTCATTTCATCTTAATTTTGTTCAGCTGATATAAATTTTTAAATTACTTTTTAGCTTGTGAAGTAGCTGATTTAACAAATGAGGATACTCCACAACTTTATATGCTTTGTGGTAGGGGTGCTCGTTCTACAATGAGAGTTTTGAGGCATGGTCTTCATGTAACTGAGATTGCTGTATCAGAATTACCTGGAAATCCTAATGCTGTGTGGACTGTTAAACGCAAGACTGATGGTAAATAACATCTTAATTGAATTTAGTATTGGTTGAACTACAAATGGGGCACAAATAGTTCACCTAATACCTTTATATTATAAATATTTTGCAAGATTAAAATTTATGCACATTCTTGCTTGCACTATGTGGGTTTTAACTAGATGCATAACATATGTGCAAATAATAAATCAGTTTGTCGCCTTTGAATACAAAAATTATTTTGATTTGAAGTGAACTCAAACGGATACATTCTTGATTTTTTTTTAAATACATTTAAATTCAGTCGTTTGCTTACTTTCAACACACTAGAATTTTTTTTTATAAAATATAAGCTTTTTGTTTATTGGCTGTTAAAAGTCAGAATAATATCCCTGGTGTGTTGAAATCATTCAAACGCCAGTTTTTACTTTCAGAATTGGTGAATCTGGTTGGCAAATGCAGTTTGAGCTAAGGTAAGATTCAAGAATATTGCGGAAGCCATTAGGGAAAATTGAAGATCTGTTTAGAATACTCAAATTAAACTCTTTTTTCATTAAACCCTTTTCTGTGTTTAGTACAACTTCAATTTTGTTTCTGTTTCTTGCAGACAAATATGATGCATACATAGTAGTGTCTTTTATCAATGCTACATTGGTGCTGTCTATTGGTGAAACAGTAGAGGAAGTAACAGATAGTGGCTTTCTTGGTACGACGCCAACTTTAAGCTGTTGTGCCCTTGGCAAAGATGGCTTAGTTCAGGTGAGGTGACAATTACCTTAAAGGATACTCATAATTTATTTTTTCATACTATTGTGCTCATTGCATTCATATTTTATTTCAAATTACTTTGAGGTTTCAATGTTTAATGTTGTTCAAAACATTTGATAGTAATTTTTTTTGTATCAATACTTAAAATTGTGAGTATAATCTTATGATGAATTATCTGTCCGTGTTTCACCTGATTGACAGTGATTAAACTTCAGTTGCTGATGATTCTGTGACTTTCTTACAAATATTTTCACTTATTATCCCATATTTACTTGAATTTTTATATATTCAGATATATCCGGAAGGCATGCGTCACATTAGGGCAGATAGAGGTGTAAATGAGTGGAAACCTCCAGGGAAGAAAACCATTGTCAAATGTGCTGTTAATCAACGCCAAATTGTTCTTGCATTGTCTGCAGGGGAATTGGTCTACTTTGAAATGAATCAAGTTAGTAATATTAGTCCTCATTCTTGAAATACTCCTCCACTTACATGATGTTTATTTGCCTTAGGACACTTCTGATTAATTTATGCAGATAACATACTTATACTGAGCTTATTTTTATTATTCAAAATTAATTTTAGTGGTAATCTATTAGTATTAATTTATTCAAACTTTAGTCAGGTCAACTAGATGAGTTTGCTGGAACATTGGAATTATCAGCTGATGTTTCATGTATGGCCTTGGGTTCAGTTCCTCCAGGTGAGCAGCGATCTTGGTTTTTGGCTGTTGGTCTAGCTGACAACACTGTTCGGATTATTTCATTAGATCCATCTGTAAGTTTATAATACAATGTACTTAAAAGTATTGACTTATTAATTTTAATTTATTTTTTAAGGACTGTTTGTCGAGCAGATCTATGCATGCATTGCCATGTCCTGCTGAATCTCTTTGCATTGTTGAGATGGGGTTATCAGATTCTTCTGAGAATGATAAGAACATAAATAGTTCTGGTTCTTTATATCTCAACATAGGACTTCAAAATGGTGCATTATCCAGGATTGTTCTCGATCCAGTTTCTGGAAACTTGGCAAATGCTAGAATTCGATATTTGGGTACCAGACCTGTGAAATTATTCAGAATTAGAATACAAGGAAATGAAGCCGTACTTGCTGTTTCAAGTAGATCTTGGCTCAGTTATTATTACCAAAACCGCTTCCATTTAACACCTTTATCTCATGAAAGTTTAGAATATGCATCAGGATTTTCAAGTGAACAATGTCCGGAGGGCATTGTAGCTATTTCTACTAATACTTTAAGAATTATTGCCTTGGAAAAGCTTGGTGCAGTTTTCAACCAAATTTCTTTTCCTTTACAATATACTCCTCGTAAATTTGTCATTCATGAAACGGGAAGATTAATAATTGCTCAAACTGAACACAATGCCTACACTGATGAAACTAAAAAACAAAGAAAAATGCAAATGGCAGAAGAAATGAAAGAAGCTGCTGGGGCTGAAGAACAAGAATTGGCATCTGAAATGGCTGAGGCTTTCTTAAATGATGCTTTACCTGAAAATCTTTTTTCTGCGCCAAAAGCTGGTCATGGCAAGTTCAAAATATTTTTTAGTATTTAGTAAAAAAAATCATGAAAATCAGAGTTACTATTTTTTTTTTAATTCTAGGGATGTGGGCTTCACAAATTTGTATCATGGATGTAAATGGGGACATTATTTTCACTCATTGCTTTCCTCAAAATGAAGCAGTGACTTCTATAGCCCTGGTAAAATTTGCTGGGCATAATCAACATAGTTTAGTTGTAGGTATTGCAAAAGATCTACAATTGAATCCTCGAATATGCAATTCAGGGTTTCTAGATTTATATAAGGTGAGTTCACCTTCGCTTTACATACCAAAGTATTTAACATGATGTTTTTATGCCTTAGGACACTTCTGAAAGTTATGAGTGATTAATTACTTCTGAATTTCATATCAATTACAATATACTGATTATATTTAAACAATCAATTCTAACTGATCAAACTATTACAGATTGATAACGAATGCGCTTCTTTTGAATTAATTCATCGAACTGAATTATCTGAAGTACCTGGTGCGTTATGTGGTTTTCAAGGAAGACTACTGGCTGGAGTAGGCAGGATGTTACGAGTTTATGAAATTGGCAAAAAGAAGCTATTGAGAAAATGCGAAAACAAGGTAACACTTCACCTTCTATGTAATTAATGTATTAACTACAGGATGATAATTGCAAACTGAATTCCTTGATTAAAAATCCTGCAGTACTGAAAAGAGATAAATTAATTTACTATATGATAGTTATTTATTTGTTAATAAATTCAGTATTTTTATTTCAGCACATTCCAAATCAAGTAGTGAATATACAGGCTGTTGGACAGAGAATTTTTGCTTCTGATGTTCAAGAATCGGTTTATTGTATCAGATATCGCAGAGCTGAAAATCAACTCATAATATTTGCTGATGATACCCATCCTAGATGGATTACTGCTACTACCCTACTTGATTATGATACAGTGGCCACTGGTGACAAATTTGGCAATATTGCTATATTGAGATTGCCACAAAATGTTAGTGATGATGTTGATGAAGATCCAACTGGGCACAAAGCTTTATGGGATCGTGGTTTACTAAATGGTACAATTAAACTTTTTACATCCTCAAACATTTAAAGTTAGCAATAATTTTTCATGTGATGTGTTATCAGTCCGTGTTTCACCTGATTGACAGTGATTATAATATTCTGATACTGATGAATTAAAAGATCATATTTTTAATATTACTTGTAAATGAGAAATGAATTATGTTTAATTGATTATTTTTTCTAGGAGCTTCTCAGAAAGCTGACACTGTAGCAACATTCCATGTGGGCGAAACTGTCAGTTCTTTACAAAAATGCACATTGATTCCTGGAGGTGGTGAAAGTTTACTTTACACAACAATCAGTGGATCTGTGGGAGTTCTGGTACCATTTAGTTCACGTGAAGATCATGATTTCTTTCAACATCTTGAAATGCATATGAGAAGTGAAAATCCACCACTTTGTGGAAGAGATCATTTAAGTTTTAGAAGTTACTACTTCCCTGTCAAGGTAATTATTGATTTTTCTATAATCATAACTAAAAAATTTTTACTTAATTTAAAATCAAATGATGTTTAATACTTCACATGCTAGACTTATGATCTGACATGATTCTGCTTTTATTGTATCTGATAATTAATAGATGATATTAAAACTTCGTTTTTAAATTTTATTTGCAAACTATGTAAACTTTTATCAATTATTTCAGAATGTTCTGGATGGTGATTTGTGTGAGCAATTCAATTCCTTGGAGCCAGCGAAGCAAAAAAGTATTGCTGGGGATTTGGAGCGGAATCCTAGTGAAGTTTCTAAGAAATTGGAAGACATAAGAACGCACTATGCTTTCTAATCTTATTGTCGACTTTTGTACTACCTTACTGTGTTAACAAATGTAATTTTTGTCTACATTTTGAAACTATTGTATATATTAAATTTTAATAAACACTTCAATTAATTTTGTGTAGATTTTATTTATGAATTCTCCATAATACTAAGTTATTTATTGGTTAAATAAATCATGTCAAATTAGACAAGTGTCTAAAATAGTTTAATTTAACTTAAACTGCATCTTAATTTTGGTTAACAAGATATTAAATAAAAAATTAATAATCATTAATGTGCAATTTTTAATTACATAGCTGCTAATTGTATCAATATAACAGTGAACTTAATTTATATGAAAAAAATAAAATTAATAAACATCTTTCATTTAATATTCATTATATAATAAACCATTTTAATTTTTATTTCAAATCTAAAATATATTTATACAAATATATCAACTTCCCACAGCATATATTGCACTCTTCTTTAACACTATTCCTACCGACATTTCATGTTTGCTATTCCTGCCGCGACCGGTCAAATGACCGGTCATGCAAAATCGGTATTTTTCAGTATTGAATGAAGAGTTAATGCTAGTTTAAGAGTTTATAAATACAAATACAATATATTTCTTTTATTTTATAATGCGAATTCTACATTTTATACTGTTTTATCCAATTTTTCACGATTTTTTTTCTTAGAGTGTATTTTCTGCACACGCATTTTTTACGTTTTTGGCTGATTTTGTTTTCTCTATCATTTTTCTAAAGCATTATCTGGAATAGTTTCTTTTAGGGAATCTGTTTTGTACTTGTACTTAGTTGATTTTTTTCTGAATTCTTGTTGGAACTATACGACAAGTTAATTGGAATAGAAAGTTCCTGCCTTGTACATTGTCTTCTCGTAATTTCTTTATGTAACAACAATGGATTTATCCTGAATAAATCCAAAATAATGTAAATCCTTGATGAATTCTCTCTAAAATTCATAGTTTACCAAATGATTTCTGACTATTTTATGAATGGCATCTACACCAGTCCCGACGCTAATACCAATTGAAATAACTCCCGTATTAGTGTAATTTTTTCAACATATGTGTATGTAAGTGAAAATTAGAATCTTCTTTCTTATCTTCCAAAATTGTAAATATTATTTGAGTATTGAAGTCTTTGATTTTTCGTTCTGCCAGTATTTATAGCTGTTATATTGCTTCAATTGTACCTACCATCAGTTTTCTTTTACTAAAAGTTTAGCTATATGTAGGATGGTAAAAACGTTATATATTTTTTATGTCGAAGCGATTTTGATAATACGGTTTCATCAGTTATAAATCTTCAAAGAATATCTCAGTTTGCTACGTATACTGGATGGTTAACAAAATTTTACACCCCATTTGTGCGATTTGCAGGGCATAATTATATTTACATCGTATATTGAACGGTTACTAATATTTATACGTTTTCCTAAATACTATTGAACATATGTTGAATGAATTTACACCTTACCTTTATTGAAAATATATGTTTGTCGATAGTAATACGTAGTAGTACATATATAATTCTAGGGAACGAGTCCACAATTATATATAAATCTATTATAAATTTGTATGAACGATATATAATTGTGGACAGGGTTGAATTTGGCGGAGATTTTAGTTCGCATCGAAGCCACCGAGTTCAGAGTAGCGCTAGCGTCTATGTCGTCATAGGGAAAGAAATATATGCGCGCGTGCATTTAATATATATGTAGTGGTGATATGATGAATACATTTTAGGGATTCCATCGCCAAAGTGTCGACAGTATATAGAGAGATAGTTGCGAGCGCAGACAACTCCTCGAAAATTTGAAATGACTGTACTAATTTTATTGAGGAGTCCATGCTTTAAATTAGGAGAAGAATCCACGGATTTTTCACTAAGTCTTTGTGGTTTATTTTCAATAAAAATATTCAAAGGTATCTATCTAGAAAAAATAAAACTAGTGGGGTGTATGGCCATCGTGCCTTAAGGCAAACTTGCTGGAACTTCCCGTACCGTAACGAAATGTTCGAGAAATACTGAATGTTTAAAAATAGATATTCTAAATATTGTAAAATTGTCTAATATTTATAAGAATTATATAAACTGAATTGCAATTTAAAATTATTTGTTTAAGTTATATTAGAACTTTAGTCAGAATAAAAATAAAATCTGAATATTTTCGATATATAAAAAAATATATATA